TTTAAATTAATACATTGTTAGCAATAAGTGCTATACAAATAAATGAAATGTGTAGGGAATTGATCAACGGTGTAGAATGCAGTGCTGAGATCTAGCATGATTAAAATTACAGACAGCCCAGAGTCAAACAGCTACTAAATAATTTACAAATTTTCAAAGAGTGGTCTCTGTGCTGGGACCGGCTCTAAATACTGACTGAAATTCGACCAGGGTATCATTCTCTAATATATCTGACAAGAACTTTTTTGTTGTTGTTTTTTTTGAGGATGAACCACTGCTTGTTTAATTAAAGAGCTGTTTGGACATATTAGGACCTATAATGACAATCAAGTCTTTCAGAAATCAAGGAGGAATAGGGTCTAGAGGAGTGAATGTCAGTTTCGGTTAGACTTTATTTCGATGGTTCCCTTTAGGCATTCTACTGACTATAAGTAACTTTATAAGTACATGTCAACTTATTCTACTAACCCAAACCCTAACCCAAACCTAACAGTCTACTAATACTCTACTAATACTCTGAGTTAGAAATTTGCTAAGCAAATTAAAGAACACAGACGCAGCCGGATCATTTCCATAATGACCAACACAATCAACCAAGAGCAGAGCAAATTACCGTCTGGTTTCAAACATGCTTTTTTAGGTGGTAAATAATGGTGCAAATACCAGTATATTGACGAGCGCAAACCTTAGTAAATCACCTTGTGTGGTTCATCTAAATACTCTCCTCCCATAAATGTTGCATCTGAAAGGGAAACTCCTACAATAACATCAGCTGCAGAAATAACCCTGTCCTCACCTCATTTATCACTGCGTGTCTTTAGTAAATCCTGACAGTAGTTTATTGACGCCAAAAGAAGGTTTGTGCTGGAACGAGCTGTGAGTAAATCTGGCTCTAAATATATTGCTCATTGTTTGTTAATGCAGTTCTAATGTTATAACTAATGAGACCTTATTGTAAATACTTTTATTTCGGACATATCTGCTGCAAACATACATAAACCAGCACAAATCCTGAGAAGAAATGCTCCATCATTATGGTCGTGTTCTCTAGTGTCCTATCAGAAGAATTGAATTAATCCAGTCTCAAACTCCATATCAGGTTTTCCTGAGAACTGCAGAGCTGAGGCGGTTACCAGAGGAAATCTCAGTTTAACACTCCCTGTTTAAAATCCCTGACCTCTCACCGAACACAACCAGAGCACTGTACGCCTGGTGAAAGGAGACGTCTGTCTCAGAGCAGCTTATTGATCGTAGGCTGGAAGCTCATGATCAATAAGTCAATTAAACCTGCATTAGCCAGATATGGGATCCAGTTGAACTTTGTTAAAAGGCCACAAACTCTGGTGAACACATGACAAAATCCCACGGTGGAACATGTGCCGAATGTCCCGGCTGTCAAGAAAGGGCGGTCAGCGATGTACCGGTAATGGTATTATCTCATTATACACGTCAAAGATTTAGTTATGTTGAGGAGAACATAAACACGATCAGCTAGCCTATTTACAGACACAGGGATTATTTTACTACAAACATGACAAAAAGTGAGTTAATTTCAAATACATGAATAATCCATCATAAAGAAATAAATCAACAAATATATTACGTTAAAATTAATAAAAATTCAAAGGCATCACGTCCTCAACTAATCCGGCAGAACTGACATCTGTGGCTGTTGCAGCGCATGCGTCCTTCTTTAATTTGTTGTTTTGCACAGAAATCTTGTCAAGCAATCATCAGTTTTCATAGCTATATTATGTTCACATGTGTCTTTCTAGCCCAGTATTTGAACTGTTTTTGTTGGTTACTGTGTGTTTTGTTGTGTTTGTTGTTTAACAGCTGGGAAACAGATTAACACAAACAGGCCTGCCTCTCCAGAAACATGTCAAACAGGCCAGCTTGCTGAGTATTCACTGAAACACAGTCAGTTCTGTTTTAAGTGAACATAAACAGTTGGGAAATAAGTTGCATGTGTATCAGTATAGCGGATCCGTGCATTAGGTCTTAAAGTGACAGCAGCCTATTTTACCCGCCGTCGTCTGTGTTCAAGAGAAACTCACTCACTGCTCTTCAGTAGATTTAGTAGGATTCATCTATATTTAATTTATAAAGTGAAGACTATGCAGTGTTGTGAGGTAGACTCAGATGGGAAATATTATATTAATTTGGGTGTCCACCTTAGAGATAATTCAGATTCAGATTCAACTTTATTGTCATTGTGAAGAGTACAAGTACAGAGCCAATGAAACACAGTTAGCATCTGACCAGAAGTGCAAACAGTAAATATCTATAAATGAATCAATCTAAACATATATATATATAAAATAACATATTATTGGAGAGCAAAAATAAAGGATACATGTTCAGAGACCAGCTCAATGCAGGTGTCTAAAAAACTATACCAAATGCAATATATTACAAAATGCAGTACAAGGTTCAAATGTAAAGTATAACAGAAAGTGTGTTATTGAGAATGAGGAATATGTAAATGGCCAGAGACACGAGGAAGTAAAGATGCTGTTGCGCTGGTCAGAGTGGCGGAGTCGATGGTCCAGGGAAATCCTCAGAGAAATGGACACCCAGGAATATGAAGCTAGTCACACGTTCCACTTCAGTCCCATCAATATAAATATGAGTGTGTGTGGCCTTTCTTAGTCGGCCGGTAGTCCACCGTCAGCCGTGGTGTTCTGGGTATTGAGTGTGAGGTTATAGTTCACACACACACACACACACACACTGTGAGTACGGCGTCTGATGAGTACAGCCGTGCTCAGGGGAGCAGTCGAGCCGGGACAGGGCATGGGTAGATTCAGATGGGACATATTATATTCATTTGGTTGTCCACCTTAGAGATTATCACCATATTTATAATAAAACCAGAATATTAAAAAATACATATGATATTAATCATATCACATAATAAAATATGATTTAATGTTACTACTGTAAATCCAAATTAAATTATTATATTTATTATTATCTTTCACAATCTTTACTTTTTAAAATACTTGTATGTATTTTTAGAATATATTTTTATATTAACATATTTTAATGACAGTATATTTATTGAACAAAAATGTATTCTTTTATTTATCAGAATAAACATAAAACAGTGCAAACTTTGCTAAAGTGATTATTTTGAACAAGTATTAAACTTAGACACTATTAAAAAACATTATGTTAGCTGAAGTGTTGTATGAATACTGTGCTGGTTTTGTGGGGTATAAGGCTCACCTCGCCACCTTCCTATGATTTTTTAAACAAAAAAAAAACACTTTTATGATTTAATTTCACACAAAATCTGTTGCTCCATAAATGTTCTCTATATTTCTTCTGCACCCATACACTGGGAGTGGTGAAAAGCCCGTTTTCTTTAGGTGTGCCCGCTGTACCCTGCTGAAGCTGCTTCAAAGCAGTCTGTATTGTATAAAGCACATCACAGTATAAACACGCGTGCCTTCCCTTGTCCGAGTCTCGGAGCCGGTGTAGACGTATCCACATCCCTAAGATCAGATGCTTCTGTAACGGCTGGACGTGCCACCGCCGTCATGTTGTGCGTTTGCTCTGAGCTTCAGGCCTGTGTCGTCTATCAGGTCCGGCCTGACACGGGCTCAGATGCAGCTACGGATACTGTTACACTGGGTACCTACGCCTCAGGAGTTCTGTCCTTCTGTGGTGTTCCTCAAGGCTCAGGTTTGGGCCCTTTATTATTTAACTTATGCGTGCTTCCTTTACTGTAATTAATCAGTACAGTATTAACTTTCTTGCAGATGTCCTCTTCTTAATGCTCTTGCACAGATGCCCACTCTCCAGTCTCCACCCTACTGGACTGCACAGAGAGCATGTGATTGAGTCTCAGGACTCTCCGCATCTGAAGAAAGAGGGACTTCTGATCGGTAATGATGCACGTCTATTTCTCCAAATCTTGATTCTCGTCTCCATCTATTCTGCAAAGTTAGTGATATTCTCTCCCATTTCTGACTGAGAAACTTGTTCATGGATTTGTTACGTCTATATCATTCAGGATTGAATTCATCCTCTTATTAGTTTTTAAATGTCTTCATGGAACAGCCCCAATATATCTTTAAAGCATGGTGAATATATACAGTATACACTTCAGCACTGGTAAACTTTGGTAAATCAGCCTTTAGTCATGTCCGTCCCACGCTAAACCCACGAGCCATCGAATCACTGTGCACTTCTGAAACTCGGGCCTTTCCTTGATTTATTGTATTGTTGTATTTTGTTTAATTAGATATCCTACTTTATTTATGACATACTTCATGCTTGAGCAACTCCTGACAACAGGATTCACTGCGACGCGTCTCCGCACCTTCTGAAGAGTTCGGCATAACGACTGGATGGATTATCAAACTGGATTTGACGGATCTGACGGATCGCCTGCTTTTGTTTTGGAGGTTTTTCAGATTTCTTGTTGGAACTTGATTTATTATCTAGTCAGTAAATCAAGCATATGTTGTGCCCAGAGAGAGAAGATACACACACACACACACACATCTCTATGTTACTTTAAATTATCCTGTTCACACAGACTGACATGGAGTGAGAACACACTGAGAGGATCAGACGTGACACACACATCAGTGCCGTGAGGATGCCGTGTCCCACAACTACAGTAAGCGCTTCTGCATGTGAACAACAAGCTCTCCTGTATTCCCAGCAGCTTTGGTGTATCGGCACAGTCTGTGTAAAATCCTTCAGTCTGCACCTTTAGGAAACTACAGTAACTTACACACACACCGAGCCTGAACACATCGCCTCACACTACCAGTCCGTCGCTCGCACTATAATGCACAATCAGTCAAACCCTAGCGGAGATACAGGAGCTGAAGTGCCGAGAGTAACGCTGACAGATGAACTTCAGTTAAACATAGATCTTGTAAAAGCAATTCTTTCAACATGAAATCTCCATCAGTTGTTCGCAGCCCTGTGTGATGCTGAAGAGATGCCATACACACCCCTGCTAATGTGTGAAGACTCACCTTCATGATGGAGTGTGTGTATCAGCGTAGAAGCGGACTCAGGTCTCTGACGCAGATCAGTGCCTGCAGACCTTTATTGATCTGCTGAAGCACAGTTTCCAGCAGCTCCAGTGTTGCTCCTCAGACTGAAAACTGATCACTCCATCCCTCCTGTGCAAGACACAACCTCTCAGCCAGCCCAGCCAATGAGAGAGCAGCTGCGCTCTGGCCCGCCCCCCCAGGCAGAGACCTGAACAACACTCATTCACATCACAGGATCACTCTCACACACACACACTCACACACGCGCAGATAAGAGCTGACTAAACAAATGCTAAAATCTGAGCATTTGAGGGAAATACTTGAGGGTTTACTACATAAACACCAACTATTACATTATAAGCAAAATATTCTTCCTCTAATTGCCCTTAAGATACAGCACTTAAAATAATGGT